AGCTCTTGCATGCGACGAAGGAACGCAAGATGGTCATAGCTCTCGGGTGTGCGCGGCAAAGTAGCGTCCAGCGGCGATGAGATGGGTGAACCATGCTCAAACTCGAACGGCGACATCCCGACAGACGGGTGGATCGATGAGTTGTAAGCCAACTCAACGTCTGGCAAGCGCTCAACCCAATCAACCTGGTCGGGACGGATGAGAGTGCGGAGAAGGACTTGAGCGGTCTGATGCGCCCTTTCCGTTTGACCATCGGTTTGCGGGTGGCGAGCCGAACTCGGCTTCAAAGATGAGCCCCTTCGCTTGACGAGGGCGACCCAAAAGTCGGAGAGAAAGCGAGTGTCCCAGTCGCAAACGATCTCCTTGGGGTAGCCCTTGGAGCGAATCCAACCGGTGTATAAAACCTCGGCTAACTCCGGTGCCTTTGCGTGATAGCGGCAAGGCAAAAACATGGCGTACTTGGTGAGGCGGTCGACGACCGTGAGGATCCCATCAACGCCGGTCTTGTGCTTCGGGTAGGGGCCGGTGATATCCATAGCAATTGCTTCCCGTCGCCCAAGGGGCACTGGTAATGGGTGTAGCTCGCCGAACGGACAATGGTTGCGTGCCTTGCAACGCCGACAGACTTTGCACGACTCACAATAGCAGGTGGCGTCCTTGAGAAGGTCGGGCCAATAGAACCGCTGGCGAAGTCGGCCAAGTGTACGGTTGACACCAAAATGTCCGGAGGCGGGCGCATCGTGAAACTCGCCAAGAAGCCGTGTGCGCAAGTGTGAATCATTTGGCACACAAAGAAGATCCTTACCCCGTGAATGCACAAGTAAGTAGCCCTCTTGGATCCGATAATGCGAAGGCACTGGATTCGGAGAGGAGCAATTCGCTTACTTTTCGCGAAAGTGGGGATCGGCTTGATAGCCGCGGATGAAGCTCTCCCGCAAGTCGTCGTTGATCTTGAAGGTAGAGTAGACTGCGGTGCAAAGATCCGGTCGCCGTGAGAGGGCGTCCGCAAAACGGTTTGACTTCCCGGGAATGTGATCGGGGAAAAAGTCAAACTGGTCGATGAAAGCCATCCAACGGGCAATGGTACTGTTAATCGTGTCTTGCGACTTGTAGAATACCGACGGATTGTTATCCGTTACCCATCGGAATGCTTTCCGACCAAGGAGGAAATGTCGCCAACGCTTGAGGGCGTGGACGAAGGCAAGAAGCTCCTTCTTCCGTGCGTCGTCGATCGAATGCACGGGAGGTACTTTCTTGCTAAAGTACTCGACCGGGTGCCAGTCCGTGCCATCGTGCTGCTCAAGGACGGCCCCAATGCCATAGCCCGACGCATCGATAGTGACGCGCGTAGCTAGAAGCGGGTCGTAAATATGTAACACCTCGGCGGACAAGAGTGCCGCTTTGAGTGTCTCAAAAGAATGGCGCGCGTTGTCGTCGAAGTCAAAAGGTCGCTCCTCGCTTTGTGACTTGCTTAGGTTGGCCGCGATCTTCGAGTAACCCTTGATGAAGCGCTGATAATAACCGGCCAAGCCGAGGAAGGATCGGACGTACGTCACATTCTTCGGCTCGGGCCACTCCTGGATGGCTTGAATCTTGTCCGCCAACGGACGAATGCCTTCCGGAGAGACAAAATGACCCAAGTATTCAAGCTCTTGCCGGACAAACTCGCATTTGTCGCGGTTAGCTTTGTATCGGGCTGACCGAAGAGTTTCTAGAACACGGCGAAGGTGCTCGAGATGCTCCTCTAGAGTTAGGCTATAGACGAGGATGTCGTCTAAGTAGACCAAAACGAAGCGGTCCAACATAGCGCGAAACTCGGTGGTCATGGCCGCCTGAAAGGTGGCCGGGGCATTGGTGATGCCAAAAGGCATAACTACCCACTCAAAATGCCCATATCGCGTCTTAGACGTGGTTTTGTACCGATCTTGCGGGCGGATGGAAATCTGATGGTAGCCCGACTTGAGGTCCAACTTCGAAAAGTACTTGGCGCCGCCCAACCGCTCAAGCAAATCGTYARTGCRAGGYAGAGGCCCCKCGTTCTYGATGGTTTGCGCGTTGAGGCGTCGGTAGTCAATGCAAAGTCGAAGGTCCTTGTTCTTCTTCCGAACGAAGAGAACGGGCGCACCGTAAGGTGAGCTGCTAGGGCGGATCCAACCCTTGTTGAGTAGATCCTCGAGTTGCGCACGAAGAACCGTGAGCTCCTCCTCGGACATGCGATAAATGCATCCTTTCGGTGGCACGGCGCCGGCCTCAAGTATGATCTCGTGAGAGATTGGCCGGTCCGGCACTATACCGGAGGGTGTCTCAAAAACATCCGAGAACTCGTCTAACAACCGGGGCACACGGGGGTCGGAAGACACTTCTGTGGACGATGAATCGGTCGTCGGGACGGTTCGAAGCAAAGCGATGCCAATCTCTTCGACATGCTCGGAACGGCATGTGTCTCGAAAAGATTTGGCACTCACGACTTGGCACCTAATGGAAGAGCGAGGAGGAGGAATAGTACACGGGACCTCGACGCCAGTTGCATCACGAATCGTGAGCGTGCGTCGATGGAAATTGACCGTGTGGTCCGCGCTAGA